TTCATAACATAGGGGCATGCATGCTCTGTCTCTTATACACATCTAGATGTTACATACATATATATTTATGTGTGTGTGTAGTGAAATTAATTAAAACATTATTTATTATGATTTCCAAGCTGTGACCTATATGCTTATCTAGCACAACACAATAGTTGCACTACAGTATATAGGTGAGTGCTTCAGTCAGCTGTATGAAAGTGCCTGGGGGTTAGATCTGTGCGTATACCATATAGGATAGGTATATGTGGTTCAATGATAGCAGCTTAGCTCAGTCGCCTAATTTGGTGGTAGCCACTACGTGTGCGCTGAAACGTGGAGGTCTCTAGGTCCCTGGTTCTATTCCCATCGCTGCCTCTCCTTGTGTTTAAGCTGGAGGGCTGAAATACTAGTTACAATAGCACACCATCTTTAGGACGACACGTTTAAGCCATTGGTCCCATGTGCATTTAAGGCCCATGTGCATGTTAAAGAATGCAGTACACTCTCCTGGAAGAACCATATTTTTTTTTAGTTTGTTTTCAAAAGAGTCAAATATATTGCAGTTTCACATATCATTAGGGAGTGAATTAAGATAGTAGGGCCTTTATAGCTAAAATTACTTTTAAACATTTCAGTTCTCTGCTTGGGCAAATTAAAATGATCAACAGAACATGCTCTAGTAGACATGCTTCTGGTTAGGACTTTGGTGAAAAGTTTGCAGAGGTAGTCTGGGCCAACTCCAGCAGCAGACCTATGTGCAGGCTTATATGCTAGGCAGCCAAGTTGTAGATTGATTCTTTGTGAGACATTGTGAACATTAAGTGTTGTGAAAAGGTGGCTGATGGTGTAAATGGGTGAGCGTTTAATAATACAATACAAAGTGCTTTATTTTGAGAAGTTTGAATTTTGTTAGTATTAGTTATGGATCTGGCTCCCCAAATGCTACAACAGTAATGAATATGTGGAAGAAAAATAGTGTTATAAATAAGAAGTGAATTATAAACATTATAATTAGACATTATTTAGAATTATAAACATATAATTTAATTTATAAATTGCTCAAGAAGTTTATGTGATAAATCAATCAACTAATTTTATTGACATTGTCAATAAAAAAAGAATACAGTCAAAAACAGAATATATAAATATATACTGGGAGGAATGAGATATATGAAGGTTTCAAGGAGAAATATTTTGTGCCGGATTTTTTTTTTTATTGATTATGACTAGCGAAACATTTTTTTAAAAATTTTTATGAATAGCGAACCCTTTTTTAAAATTATGAATAGCGAGCCTTATAAATAGCGACCCTTTGTTTACAGTATGACTAGTGAACCTTTTTATTGATTATGACTAGTGACTAAGGAACCCTTTTTTTAATTATGGCTAGCGAACCCCTTTTTTTATTATGACTAGCGAACCTTATGAATAACATTCCTTTATTTATATTATGATAGCGAACCTTTTTCTTGATTATGACTAGTGAGCCTTACGAATTGTAATCCTCTTATCAAATTATGATTAGTGACCCCCTTCTCTAGATTATGACTAGCGAACGTTTGAATGGCAGTCCTTATTTTTATGAATAGTAAACCTTTTTCTTAATTATGAATAGCAACCTTCAGGTATAGGGTAAGCTAATGTTATGACTAGTAAACCTTATGAATAATGAACCTCTTATGGCTACTTGACCTCTTTGGACAACTGGCCCATGCAACCAAGTGCAACCCCTCCTCAAGAAGCAATCACCATTATTAAAGCAATACCAACAGGGAGCCGCCCAGGAGGTTGCCCCGTATGAGATGGTTTAACATGAAGATGTGTCAATATGTATTTTGAAATATCAAATATAATACTATTAATGGTAATGAATACTGAGATACGTATAAGGTTGACTTTAGAAACACTAAAATTTATTGCAACTATTCAAATACTCCTGAAGTCTTTGTCCACATTTTATGTCAAACGCTATGTTCATAACATAGGGGCATGCATGCTAGTACCACGTCTTGGAAGAGGCCAGCTAATTCTGTGTCAGTGTGAGTGTGTTTGATGCAAATTGGGCCTAGAATAGCCATGGTCCTCGGGGGAACTGTGGCTCCAAAAATTTGCCAACAGGGAGCCTGAACCAAAGGACCGACTAGAGTTTTGGTCAGGGAGTGTTTTTATGACTTAATTTTAGTATGACCCAAATTAGACCAATCCGGGGATTGGCAATCAAAATAACGTTATTCGGATAGGTAATATTATTTTTTTTGTTTTTGATCCAACGACCTCGTCCTGGCATCGGACGACAGAGTGAGTTGGTTTGCCTGGCGCCACCACTGGCCGGTAGGCTTGCTGCATAGCACCGTAAACACAAACACATAAATAACAATTAATATATTATCAGAGATGTGTCTATACGTGTTTTGAAATATCAAAAATACTGTTTAATGGAAATGAATACTCAGATGCGTATAATACTAAAATTTATTGCAATGACTAACTATTCGATACTCCTGAAGTTTTGTCAACATTTTATGTCAAGTGATAGTCAAAATTATTGTTGCAATAAATGTTATTGTTTCTAAATTTAACATTTTATGATGAGAAAGAAAGCTATGCAAAAGGCAAGCATGTGATGTGTCAGACCAACAGTAAAATAATAATTTCATTCAACTACCATGTGGCTAAGCCCACTGGTTTAACCCTTTCAATCATCACACCTTGATGTTCCTTTTGAATTATCAATTGTAATTTTACCTTAATTCTAACTGCATCAAGGGAATTCTCCTTACAGGATACCATATTTTAATATAACCATTCTTTAGACTTAAGGTTGTTTCCGCTGGCAAACATAAAATTTCCCCATTAAATACTTCTTGATATTAGTTTTTCATCTGCTCCTGGTCTACCTGATTAACCTGTAAAAACTCAAAATTTATGGTTATTACATTTGAGTTGTACATGCACCTAGGAGGGGTTGAAGGTCAGGCTGATGTACTATCTTAAATCTTACCTAATATATACAGGTATGCCAGGTTAATACAAAATTCTAAATGTAACTCATTGTTGCATTTTATCGATAGGAAGTGTTAATGCACACATGTAAAAGTACTAGTGATACAGTAATTTATACTTGTCCAATGGATGAAACGAACCAGTAGGGAGAGATACAAATTAGATTCTGATGCAATCATTACGGTAAACCCACATGAGCATTGGCCATAGGTTACTATGACTTTGATTGCAATAATTTTGCAGCAATCACAATAAAGTTAAAGTTAAATATATAGCGTATAGCCTAGGTTATTTCACACATGTACCAATGTTTATTAGTTAATATTCATAAACTATATAGACATAGAGTGTGCATAAAGCCTACATGACTTATTTCTTAGCCTGTGTAACATTGTTTTCTAGGTTTTTCAGTATGTTGGTTATTGGCTTAATATTTTACGGATCAAAAGTACAGTATGTGAACATAATCTCAGAATGAATATATCAGGAAATATTTGTGTAACAGTTTTTTACATTTTGTTATGTTACATTTGATATCATTAACTCATTTAAAATAATAAGAGAATGATTAATTCACATCATGTTGAAATTCTAAAAAGAGGATATTCGATTGCGGTACACCATTTTTGTTTATACTTACATGTTCTAAAACCTTATTTTGGTTACACATATTTGTGACTTCAGTTTGTGTTGCCCAAGAGTGACCAATGCAAATCTTCAAAAATCTTATCTGTATATCTTGTTTTATGAATGTCTTTACCAAAACAATGCACAAAATACTTATTTCAAAAAGACAATTTTAAAGCTTTGATTTCGATGTCTAATCCATGGGTTTCACCCCTTTGTTACCATTTTAAAAACCAAAATGCATTTGGGTGAGTGACGGTTGGAAATGAACCCTATACAGAATTTATTAGTTTAAATTTACAAGATTTTTTAAATGTTTATCAGGGATAACAACTCCCTGGTTTATCACAGAACCTGGATTGCTTTACAGTATGTGGTTAGTATGTAGACCACAAGACAATATAATTTTGCAATTGTAGTCAAGATATGAGGCCCCTATAGAGGCCAAAAGAACCATTACAATATTTCCTGAATTGCAATATTTTGGGAAGGAAAAAATGGCTTCTAAGGCTTCTATTTTCTATAGGGTCAAAAATAACCTGCCAAAAAGTGCTTTATAATTGAGCCACCCTGTTTTATACAATATTATATTATATATATATATATATATATTGTTAACCAGTGCCGAATGGACACACAAGATGCAAAAAATTGCAAGTACTGATATATCAAATTTTTGTGCCACTTGGGTATAGGAAAGCTGTGTGAGAATGAAAGTGATGACGTCACAACTGACTTATAAAATGTATTATGATTCATGTATAAATGTGCTTAAATTGTTAGGGGTTTTTTTTTTTTATATTTACCCACTAATTTAACAAATGTATAATGTGTATTTGTATTGATTTAACATAGTACCTTGAAGGCATATGCTGAACCACCAAATACAATCGCTCACTACAACTCACCAGAAACCGTCAAATTCTGTAGACAGCACTCATGGCTCAACGAACGGCAGCGACGGCTTTGTCTTCTGCACCCAGACCTGATACCAAGTGTGTTAGAAGGTGCTATATCAGCCATAATGGAATGTAAGAGACAATTTAAGATGGAGCGGTGGAATTGTCCAGCTAATAATATTACAGCAGTTTTTGGATCAACCAAATTATCCATGAGTAAGTAAATATATTTAATATCAAATGTTCAATTTCCCAAATGTTTAAATATTTTAGGCAAATATTTTTAGTTTGTGCATTTAATAATTTCTTTTTCCGTTGATTACAGACCAAAAAATAATTAAAAATATTATACTGTAGCTTCGGAATCTTTTCTAATGCAATCATACAGCTTGACTATGTATGCCGGTTGGTGTATCAGATTCAATCCGAAAATATGTCAAAGCACCTCGGAGAGTGAAAGCGTACACAAATAGGTCAATGATAATCACGACAATAACAATTATTATCAACATTGCAGTACCCACTGCTTACTTGGACTCGAATTCAAACCCTGGCCATCAGACGCAAGCTCGGTGGTCTAGAGGTATGACGCCAGGCTAGTGATCTGGAGATCGTGGGTTCGAGTCCCACTCGAGAACAACTTGGGATTTTTTCCCAATTGTTTTCACATGTACTGAATATTTAGAACATTTCCATGTCAGGTAGGGCAAAATTACACTAATACTTGATTCTTCTGACGTAAATCCAGTTATTGTCTATTCCATCACGACAATAACAATTACTATCACATTGCAGTAGGCCTACCCGCTGCTTACTTGGACTCGAATTCAAACCCTGGCCATTAGGCACAAGGTCGGTGGTCTAGAGGTATGATGCCAGGGTAGTGATCTGGAGATCATGGGTTCGAAACCCACCCGAGAACAAATTGCAATTTTTTTCGCGATTGTTTTCACACGTACTGAGTATTCAGTACATTTCCATGTCAGGTAGGGCAAAATTACACCTATAATTGATTCTCCTGATGCAAATCCAATTATTGTCTATTCCATCACGACAATAACAATTACTCTTGATAATAAAACTCTTTAAAGTTAAGCTAACATAAACAAACATGTTAGGTAAATGGTAGAAAAACTCTGGAAAGTTGGAACAAAAATTATGGTGAGGTAGAAATAAAAAAGAAATTAACCAAAGTTTCTATGTAGTACTGTGAGTGAACAATAATGCGAGTTTTCAATTTGTTTTCTAATGGTAATGCAACTGTTTTTATCGCAATTTCTCATACAAGTATCAGGGTACTTGTAGTATAGTACTGTAATATTGACAGTTGCAGCAGTAATAGTGTTTCACACAGACACTGACTCACCCAAGGGTGTTTTTTATCAAGGCTGTGTAAGGCCAAGGCCTGTATAAATATTAACAAATTAAAAAGCACAAAGAAAAAATATCAAAAGAAAAAAACTAACTAGCAGTTAAGTTTATTCCCAACCAGACATTGTGGCATGGTTTCCCTTTGGAGTCTATTTGTTAGGGATAACAATAAATTGAAAACTTAGTTCATTAAGGACCATTTTGACCTACCTCTCATTTTAGGCAATTTTTACCAGGGCAATTTTTTCTGGGGCTATTTCACCAAGGCCTTTCCTTTGGTTCCATATTTTCCACAGTCATTTTAACTGCATTTGTACAAGTGGGTACCTGGTAGGTTCCAACAAAATGCCATGAAACTGTAATATTATGGAATTCTACTCACAGCTGAATATGCGTTCCCATCGAGGTACACCTCCATGTTGTTCCATATTGTATGTGCTTGATCCAATGACTGGGGTAATAATCAGTGGAGGACTGTAGGGTAATTACATGGGATGTTAGGACTGCTGGTGGACAAAGTTAGTCAAAAATAGTCAAAATACAAATGTATTTATTTATTTATGCCAGTGTGATTTTAGTTTCTTCTCTTCAGAAAAATTCCTTTTTCATTACATCTAACAAATTACAATTAAATAATACATGTTTCTTCTACACCGGTTATGTGTATGCAAATTTATTTAAATTTTAATGATTGAGATTATATGTCTTTCAATTTTCAATTTAAATTCCATGTCTATTGTCTCAATCATTTCTAAATTGAATGAATTGAAGAAACACACTAAATCCATAGTACAGTTTACACACATTTATAAGCACATATATGTTCTGAAATCATTTACCACAACAGAAATTGTATTTTTGTGTGTACCTAGTAAGTCATGTTCAGAATCAGAGAATATGTACATACAGTCCAATTGACATATTTTCATATTAATTACTGCTTTTTGAGCAATTGAATGTTGGAAACATCAGCTATTAAAATACACTTTTCTCTAATATTCATGAACCATTATTCATTGACAGGTAATATACCGAAAGATTAGCTAAACCTGTTTGTACCTATATTAAATATCTTTATGGATTACATGATTATAAATACGAAATACTGCCTTAAATTATGCCCTAGTTTAGGTAGGCCAATCCAGATGGAGGAGAAAATAAAACTTTATTGGTGAATGTAAACAGTGTAGTAATGGGATGGTTAGATGACTTTATATAATTAAAAAGAAATATACATCTTATTTTTGGAGATTTCAAGGCAGCAGTGGGGGTAATAAAGGTATACTGTTAGTT